TTCTCGTCTTGATAAATTTCATTATTCTTCGAATTAATATTTGAATGAATTGGTCATTAATATCACACTCTTCCAAACGTAGCCAAAACGTTATAAACAAAGTCTACAACAAAAAAAGAAATAGTTTCCTTAGCGTGTAAAACAAAGCAGAAGAACTTATTTTCCACAAAATTAAAAACTTTGTTGACTCTACAAACTAGAAAGTAGAAACTCATTATCAAGTAAATTGGAGTTAATTTCACCAATTACTTTCTATCTGGACCACCCAACATCATTAAATGCATGACCTGAATTGCCAACGACGTTTTTGACACCAAACACAATTTGAGAAATCTGAAGATTTTGAACAACTTTGGAAAAAAATAAATGGAATGAAGCCTTGTTTATCAGATTATTTAATTATAGTATGAAAAAGTTAGTTGGTTGCCAATAAATTTAAGATCCAAGGGAACTATACAATTGGCTAATTCAATGTCTTTATATGTTGTGCCTTTCAAATTAAACATAGTAATAATTTGTTAATAAGGAAAATAATTATTGAATATAAACATCCTAATCATGCTGTTTGCAAGGGACAAGTAACTATAGAGATTTATATATATAAATTACAATTATGTGTTATTAATGTGTTATGAAGAGAATTTATACATTATATTAACGCTTCAATTGGTTTCCATTTACTATTTTATCTTTTAAAATTTTACGCTTATTAATTTCTAACTACCAACATATTATCTTTAAAAAATAAAATAATGTAGCATGAGGTTTTACCCAATAAAAGTTTCTTTTTTCCATGAAGAAATAGGATGCAGCAGAAACCCACATAGATAATGGTGAAAAGAGTTTTTAACCCAAACTTCACTATTTCAGGCACAAATCACACTTTTGGCTAATTACAAAATGACAAAATGAAAACCCAAGCATCAGCGAGAGCTCGAGCCAATTTATCCGTTTTTATTATATTTATTATCAAAATTATATTGAATCCCAAATAAATTTTCTTTAAAAAAAAATTAAATTTCAATTTAGATTCAAATAAATAATTAAAAAAATTTTTGTTTGAGAAATAGTACATAACAATTTTAAGAAAATTCAATTTAAAATACGCACTTAAAATTTGTCATTTCAAAATATTAACCAATTTAAGGATAACATTATTAATTAAGTTATCAAAGACATTTATGTTGTTCATTATTTGCACTTTTAAAATTTATCGTTTTTTAATATAGTATAGATATATAGATAGATATATATATATATATTAAATTCTTATAAAGCAAATAACATGAACCCATGAAAGTAACTAATATATTCAAGTTTTTCTCTTCCCTTTAAACTTTCTTAAATGTATCAAAAAATGGAATTAGCAGAGGGGTGTTACATTTTTCTTTTGGTGTTTATGGAAGCATATAGAGTTTGACTAACAAAAATTGTAATTTACTCTCACTCTAGGTATTACTCCTAACATTTTCTTGCTGAGATTTAAAATTGAGACTTTCAAGTTAAATATGTTACCTTTGAGCAGGCATCTTATATATTGAGAATATGATCATATATATTTAACTCAATGTCATGAGGTGAATCAAATGATACTATCTCATTAATAAAATAAATTTTAAAAAATATTAATTTTTACAAATTTATTTTAAGGGCTAATATTTACTTATATAATAAGTTAGCATCATTTGATTCATTTACGGTATATATATATATATATTGACAATATATCGAAAACAAACTCAAAATAAAATTATACATAGTAAAATAAAAGAATTTGAATGAAACCAACAAGAGCATAAAAGTAAATTTGCAGACTTTTATTGTGGTAGAACTTATAATATCATTCTTCATTTCTGAAGCATTTTTGAATACATTAAAAGTTTGAATTTATAAAGAAACTGCAATATTTAAAAGGAAAAGATAAATTATAATTTATATTGGAATTCAAGTTTTGTGCAAAATTTTCAATTAGAAAATAAATCCTTGACACTCTCAAATATAAAAAAATAAAGTTTAAATTATGTTAGCACGATCTAAAAAAATGATTTTTTAGGCATCAATTAGAGACATGCCAATATAATTATTTAGAAGCTTTTGATGAATATTATACACTTACCAAGATTAAAACAATTCTCATTTAAATCTTAATACTAGTTAACTTATTTAAAAGTAATTAATTAAATAAAATTAGAAAGAATTTAGGACAACCTAAAGTAGTTTCTCACATTTTCATCTAAAAATGTCGAACGTCGTTAACACCTTAAAATTTTATGTTTGGGCAAATCTTCCATTTCATTTTTTTTTATTATTAAAATATTAAAAAGCTTTTTATATTAATAATTTACTATTTTTAAATATATTTTAAATTAAATTAACCAATATTGTTTAACAAGAACAAAATAAGCAATTAACCTTGATAAAAACTTTAAAAATTTTGTTCAAGACCTGATTGAGTTGAGACTAGCAGATGGTCTGACACATAGACAAGTCTAATAACGAGCTATCATAGAAATATTTATATTATTTTATAAAGCCAACATTCAATTTATGGTGGCAAATTATAAATATTATTAATAATACAAATGATCTTTAAATTATAATAAAATATTTAATATGCTACTTGAATTTTGAACATTTCTAATATAACACCTAAAATATAGTAAATTTTAAAAATAGTAACGTCCTAATCGTGTTATTTGCAAGAAGTGAGTAATCGTGGAGCTGCAAAAATAATTGGCTTTCTTAATTCTCTAAAAATATATTATTTGAAAAAAAAAAGGTGTTCATGAACTAAGAGGAGCCAAGCATGGTTGAAATCAAGAAATCTTAGGTTTGGAGGGCTCTGCATTTTATTTTTATTTATCATTAAAATATTAAAAATATATTTATACTAATCTTTTAATAATTTTAAATATATTATAAAATAAAATTAAACAATAATTTTTTTATAATATAATAACACAATCAATCTGAAGTAAACTTAAAAAACTTTGGCAAGTCAAGTTCTTGCGTTGACTCTGTTTGGTTTCCTTTCTTTTTTACCTAGAAGAGTGTTAGTGTCTTTTGCTATCTTCTCTCATCGATGGTAAATTCCAGGAATTGAAACTCGAATAAATTAATTTATTATTAAAATCACATTTTCTTGAAAGTTGCCTATGTACTTTACAAAAATTTTGCAATGTGGTAAGGTACGTGCCTTTGTGTGTAAAACGAAGCAGAAGACTTTCAACAAATTAAAATGTTATTCACGCTAAAGTAAAACTAACGGGGAAGATATGACTGCAGTGTCAAGCAAGTTGGAGTTAATTTCTCAGTAACTTTCTTTTGGGTTTGGCCAACAACCGACATTGCATTTGTTTTTAAAAGACCAATAGTTATTTTTTTTATTCAGTTTTTTCTATTTGTATTTTAATTTTTTTTCACTTTTTGGAATTTTTTTTATGTAGAAAAGCCAAAAGTTCATTATGATATTAAATTATTTTGAAAAACTAAAAATTAAAGAAAAAAACAAGTTTTTTAAGTATTATTATTTACCATATTATTCAATTTAAAATTATTTTTTATAAATGATTTTTTTTAAAAATCCCATTCAAAGCGAAAGCTTCATTCTATTGATATATGAAAGCATAAATTTCTTTTATCCTTTATTAATAGCTTATGCAAATTTTTAGTATTAAAATTATGAAATTTAATATCATATTATTGATCGTTTACTACTATTTTATTAATCATTTACAAAGAAATCAGAAAAGAAAATGAAAAACTCGTAGACAAATCACAACATTTTATATTCATATATACTTTAAGAATCCAAGTAAATAATCCAATTAAATAACGTGGATATGAAGACAATGTGAATTTTAAGTTGACGCCATTTTGAAGATCCTTTCAAACAATGCTATATTAGATGTTATAGACTTATAGATTTAAAAGTAAATATGAAATGCCTTTTAAAAAAATAGAAATCAAATGGAACAGGCAATAAAAGTTTCTTCCAGGAAGAAATAAAATGCAACAGGAAGTCACATGGAAAACGAGGAAACAATTTTTAACCCATACTCCACGATTTCACGAAAGTCACATTATGGCCTAAAGTATTTATTACAAAATGAAAAAAAAAAAAAAATCAATTGTATCATTTACAATTGTTATAGTAAATAATCACAATTTAAAATTATGTGAGATTTATCAAAATTTTATATAAAATTACACTTATAAGTGGTGGACCCATATATAATTTTTTAATGTAATTAAATAATTATAATATTGTAATAAAAAATTTATAGGTGAAATGTTCCCAAACTGATTTACTTATTTCAATTAAATTTGTTCTTAAAATGTTAAAAATATTTTATATTAATATTATAAAATTAAATTTTAATTAAAATATATTATTTATTAATATAATAAAATTCTCATGTTGAACGCATGCCCAAAAAATCATATTTAAGACTGAATCCAAGTTTTTTGACCAAATAGCCTAGAAAGTAGTTGGGTTTAACAATTACTCCAACTATAACAACCAAGAGAACGATTGTGAAATGAATGATTTTTTATCAAGATTGATCATTTGGTAAAAAAGAAATAATAATAAAACAATTGAATAATAGAAAAATAGTATATTTATAGAAAATTTAAATTAAATCCAATATATATACAATGAGATTCGATCATAAAATCTAATTCTTCCAATCACTCTTTCTTATTATTGAGACAAAACCTCATTTATATATAGCATGAACAAAATTTTAATTTGTGGAAAATAAAAGTCATTGTCTTATTGTAATTTTTTTTTTCTAAATTATGTCGGCCACTGTCGAGAGAGAATAATTTCAATGACTAGTTTATTCAGATTTCAATTCCAAGAATAGTAGAATTTACCACCGATGAGCGAAGACAAAGAAAGAAACTAACACTCCTTTTGGTAAGAAGGAAAGGACGAGGAAAAAAAAGTTGTAATATATTTTTTTTACTTTCCCTTTTCTTTCTTTCCTACGATACAGAGTCTAAACGATCGAGGACCACCTTGATTGTCTATATATATTAAGCTTGATGCAAGGCTTATCGTTATATATTTAGAAGTAGCAGTTAAGAGAGAATTGAAAATATAGAGATCATATATAAAGAAAAAGAGATGATGGAAACCAAATGGTTGTGGTTGAGTGTGTTGTTGTTGTTGCTGTTAGAAGGATGCAGATGGTATGGTACTGAGGCGTGTTGGGAGGATGAGAGGATTGCTCTCTTGCAACTCAAACCGTTCTTCAATCCTCACAACGATCTGTACAGCTGGGTTGATGAGATCAAGGGTTCAGATTGCTGTCGATGGGATAGGGTCGAGTGCAAAACCTCCTCCTCCTCCTCCAGGAAAGTCATAGGACTCTCTCTTAATGATACAAGATGGTCGGACAACGAAAGATGGTATCTTAATGCCTCCTTGTTTCTTCCTTTCAAGGAACTGAAGCATCTTTATTTGACAGGGAATAACATCGCTGGTTTTGTTGAAAGTGAAGGTCGCTTTTGCCTATTCATCTTCAATTATTCCATTGTTAATTTGCAATATGAAAATTCATTCTTCACTTTTTCATTTTTACAACTTCATATTTAATTCTAATTTTGTTTTATTGATGAAAGCCACTAAGTCCTTTTTATATATTTAAAAGAACTCTCTTGCAGGTTTTGCAAAGCTAAATTTGGAGATCCTTGATTTAAGTGACAATTACCTCAATGATACAATTTTGTTATCTTTGAGTGAGCTTTCATCTCTTAAGCATTTATATCTAGGAGCAAACTCCTTCAGAGGATCAAGTCATGCAATCGGTAGAGTTAAAATTGCTCTAATTATGATTATGAATGATATACAGTAATTAAAATATTAACTTGTGTTTATTACAGGTTTCCAATGGCTCTCAAGACTTGGTAATTTGGAAACTCTTGATTTATGGGGCAATTATTTGAAAAATGATATAGTGTTTCATATGAATGGTCTTTCATCTTTAAAGACTTTAAGATTAAGTGAAAATCACTTGGAAGGAACCGTTCATATTCACGGTAAACTCATTTTACCTCTAATTGATATTAAAGTCAATTGTTGTTTCAAGGAAAGCTCTTGCATATTATTTGATTTTAATTACTTGTTGAGGTTGAATAGAATTGAATAATTTGACAAACTTGAAGAACTTGGATTTAAGCGACAATAGAATTGAAAGCTTCCAACCATCAAAGCAAGGTATAAATATATATTTCAATTCACTGAACTAAAATCTTAATTATGTGATCAGCAAATAAAATTTTTGATTGACTATAGTATATAATAGAATTATATATTCTTGTATAGGAAACGAGACACAACTGAGGTTGACCAATTTGGAGGAACTTGATTTGAGCTATAATCTCTTCAGGAACAATATATTTTCCTTCGTTCAGGGGTTTTCAAGTCTAAAGTCCTTATATATGCAGGGGAACCAATTGCAAGGCTCAATAGATGTTAAAGGTAAAGCTTTTACTACCTTTGTTTTTTTTTTTTTAATTCTTTTTAAAAGCCTAAAACTCATAAAAAAAAATTTTGCTAAGTCAAAGGTATTTATTAATTAATCAAAAGGGCACAAAGCCAGCATAAAGTTAATTCAGCAAAGCAAATAGATCTATGCATTCAAACCAGACAGACAAAACACCACCCAAAGTATATAACTGAAGACAAAAGTCCTAAAAGTTACACCACCTTATCCATAAGCCAATTACCTCCCGACCAAAGCGAACCATGTGTGTTTTCAATTTCTTGTATTGTAGGCATAGAATCAGTCTCCACTATTACATGCTCTGTACCCTGTTCAAAAGCTAGTTGCAGTCCCCAAAGGATTGCTCTTACCTCTGTATGAAGGGAACTTTCAGTCCAGTCTACTCAAGTCACTGCTGAAAAAACCACGTTACTATTTAAATCTCTAAGAACAGCACCTAGCCCAGCTTCTTGTTCTCTGACCCTATACACTGCATCCACAATGAGCTTTAACATATCCGGTACAGGAGGTTGCCAACTCTATCCTTGGCGTCCTCGAGATCATAGTTTGTTGGGCAACCAATTCTAGCCTTTCCCTCACGCGGGCTGTCTTCACTAATGATTTCCACATAGCACATGTTACTTGATGGAGGCATTTTAATTACAAACATCATATTGTAGTTCTTATTGTGTTAACTATAATATCATAATCTTAATATTATTACGTTTGATTATATAATTACATTAATATTAAGTTAACAAATATTATATTATTTCAAATGTGAAATGAAACCCAGTTAAGATGTTAAATGGACCTTTGTCTCTTGGATAGCTGCAGTTGCTAATATTAAAACTTTTGGTTGCAAAATAACATTTCTTGTTCATACTATCTGGTAGGAAAAAAGCTATTAGCTTAAGAATCAAGCTACACATATTAGCCCAAAAAAAAAAAAAATCAAGCTACACCTACTTAAGAAGGAGGATGTCACTTATTATACTGTCAGTCATTTCAATTTTTGATTGGGATAAGAAATTTGAATCCAACCCTATGTAAGATAAAGACAACCAAACCAAGTGCTCAACTATGATACTTATTATTGAAGTGGGAAAATCGATACATGACTGAATTAGAAACAGTCGAGAAACCATTTTGTGGTTTCTTTTCTTTCATTTTTGTTTTCTGAAGTTTCCTAAGTATTTATGTTAATGGATCAAGTCATGCAAATGATAGAGTTAAAATTAATCTAATAGTGATTATGAATGATATATAGTAATTAAAATATTAATCTTCCTTCATTACAGGCTTCTAATGGCTTTCAAGACTCAATGATTTGGAAACTCTTGATTTATGATACATCTCTTTGAAAATTAACGTATGGTTTCATATGAATGGTCTTTTATCTTTAAGGATTTTAAGTTTGATGAAAAATCACTTGGAAGGAACCATTCATATTCACGATAAACTTGCTTTATCTTTCTTTTACGTTCAAATCAATTTTTGTTTCAAGAAAAGGTGTTGTATATCATTTGCTTTTATTTGTAATATTAATTTCTCATTGGCGTTGAATAGGATTAAATAATCTGACAAATTTGAAGAACTTTGATCTAACCTCCAATAGAATTAAAAGCTTCGGACCATCAAAGCAAGGTATAAATATATATATTTCAATTCACTCAACTAAGTTCTTAATTATGTGATCGATGTATAAAATTTCCCATTAACAATGGCATGTAATAGAAATATTCTTCTATAGGAAAGGAGATACAACTAAGGATGACCAATTTGGAGGTTCTTGATTTAAGTAATAATCTCTTCAGGAACGAGACTTTTGCATTCCTTTCTGGCCTTCCAAGTCTAAAGTCTCTGTATATGGAGCACAACCAATTGCAAGGCTCAATAGATATTGGAGGTAAAGATATTACAGCCCCTTTTGTTTATTTTAATTTGTTTTAGAACCCTTTTGCTCATCAAATAGGTAAAATCTCATATCACATTTGGGATTTTTCTCACTTAAAGCTTTAGGTTTGTTTTGCAGTTTACTTCATTATAAGTCATTAAAATATTCAGTAAAAAGATTATTTGAGTAACCAGGCTAACATAATGATTATTTGAATTGAACTTGGACATAGAATTGAATAATTTGATGAATCTGAAGAAGTTGTATTTATGCTCCAACAAAATTGAAAGCTTTCATTCCTTACAAGGTATGCATTTATATTTGGTCAATTAGTTAAGTTGTTATATATAATTAAATATTATGTAAATCTTTTTTTAGTGATGAAATTATGCAAACCTTATGTAGATAGTGGGAGACAGCTGAACTTGACCCATTTGGAAGAATTTGATTTGAGTTATAATCTCATTAATGACAACATATTTGCATCACTTAGCGGGCTTTCAAATTTGAAGTCTTTGGATGTAAGCTCCAATCAGTTAAATGGATCAATAGATATGAAAGGTAAAATTACTTTTTTACCAAAAATTTTGAATTTGTTAACAAAATCTTAATTCATGTTTCAAGATGACATAACAAATAAGTTCATCTATTTCTTTTCTTTAATGATGAAATTATGTAAATTATTTATAGATATAGGGAGACAGTTAAAATTGACCAATTTCTAAAAGCTTGATTTAAGTCATAATCTAATTAATTATTACTTTTCAACCAAATTTCAACTCTATTATAAATACTTTTAAAAAATACATTTCATATATTTAGATGATTTAATGAAGTTTATTCATTACTTTTTTCCAGACTTAGGTGCTTTTACCAACTTAGAGGAACTGGATATGAGTTATAATGATTTGAATGAATTTGTGGGCTGTAAAGGTATGGATTTAAATAAGTTTTCTATTTTTATTTATGAGGTTTATAATGATGTAGATGTTTTAATGACCAAAAAATTTAGCATATTAAAATTTAATGCTCAATTTTTTAAAGGAAGAAATTAATTATTTATTATATGCTTTTATTACAATGCTACAATTCTCTAACTATAATAAAGAATTATGTAAGAAGATCATTTATAAGTGTGACCTCCACATAAAATTTGTTAGACCTCATGCAATTTTGAATTGTGATTGCTTAATCGTATTACAATGATTATAGGTGAAATGCTCTTATTAAAATTAATGCCCAATTTTTTAAAGGAAGAAATTCATTGTAATTTGATTACTAATTAGAAAATGATATATATTTGCCTTCGATAATTGCTTTCTTTAAGAAGTGTTGCAACGGCATATCAAATATTTCCCTTTTTGTTTGTGTTAGCTTGTTGTGTCTTAGAGTTGGACTTGTTTGCCTTTTGTCATTCTATTTTAGATTACTACATATTCTTATTACCGTTTAAAAAATTTGCCTTTTCATGTTACCGTTTTGTTTGATTTTCATCTTTTTGATTGTTTCGTATATTAAATTTATATTAAAAATATTTAACAATTCAATATTCTTCTCTATTAAAAATTCATTTTGCATTAATCTTGAATATATAATCTTATCAACAAAATGAAAATTTTCACTCATTTATTTTTTCATTTACAGAGTATAAGAGTTTGAAAAAGTTAAAAAGTTCTTCGTCTAAATCAGGTTTTTACCAATGGAAGCATTCCATTACTACTAAAATTAGTAGAGGCATTCCCATCGGTTAAGACCTTCTATCTACTAGGGAATTACTTAAACAAGACTATGGCTACTCAAGATCAAGGTAAGTCCATTAATTTATTCCAAAAGACGTAAAATTAGTAGTTTTTGTTGATTAACATCTAATAATACCTCCTATGCTATGATTACTCAGAATTGCATGTGTGGAGCAATGTGGAGGAAATATTTCTAGACTTTTCTTATCTCAACAACAACATTTTGCAAAGCATTGGAGTATTCACTTCTCTTAAAACTTTGTCTTTAAGTAACTGTCGACTTATTGGTTCCTTGCCTATTCAAGGTAAATTAAAGACTATTATTCTCCAATATAACTCATGGAATACACCTCTTTCCAATAATCCTTTATTCTTTTTCTTTCATCTAATATCTTTTATATATATTCTGTTTTGGAAATCAAAATTTAATTAAAATTTCTTCATGAATTTATAAAAATTTCAGGTGGTGTGATCTAAAGGAACCTTAAGAGTTTGGATATCAGTGGGAATGCACTTGAGGGATACTTCCTTATTGTTTGGGGTAACTTGACATCTCTTCTTGAGTTAGATATCTCCAACAATCAATTTACTGGAAATTTGACTCCTTAGCAAATCTTTCATCACTTAGATTTGTGTCTCTGTTTTCAAGAAATCATTTGCAAATTTCAATGCCATTCTTGTCACTTGCAAACCTTCCAAATCTCAAGTTCTTTTGGCTGATGAAACAAGATAGTAATGGAATATAATTCCTTTCATACTTCAATTCCGAAGTTTCAACTAAACATCATCAGTTTGTCAGAGTGTATAACAGACAAAGGACTTAGTCTACAACCTCCTAAGTTCTCTTTTACCAATATGACTTGAGATATGTTGATCTTTCCTATAACAATTTTCAGTGGAACAGTCCCATTATGGTTGCTAGAAAACAACACAAAATTAGAAAATCTCTTCTTGTTGGGTAATTCTTTCACTGGTCCTCTCTTGTTACCCACATCTTTTTCATCCTAAGTGTCTTTAATTGACATTATCTGAAAACAAATTACAAGGGTCAAATTTCGACAAATATATGTTCACTTTTCCTAATTTGGAATTGCTTAGTTCCTTATCTAAGAATGCCTTTGAAGGTAATATACCTCCTTGTTTAAGTGGCATGAACACTTTATCATATTTAGACCTATCGGACATCATTTGTTTGGAAGAGTACCAGAAGAGTTGATCATAAGAAGCTCATTAGCTGTTCTTAGGCTATCAAAATAACAACCTAAGTGGAAAGATTGTTCCTTTGATGTTCAACACAAAAAGTTGTCAAATTTGTATTTGGATGGCAATAATTTTGCTGGAGAGATTCCTGATATTGATGTCTCTACTACTGATTTTTCAACATTCATCATCTAGAGGATATTGATCTCAGTAATAATAGTTTTAATGGAAAGCTCCCAAGATGGATAGGGAATATATCGCATTTGAAGAGATTGGCTTTGTCAAACAATCATTTTGAAGGTTCTATTCCAATGGAATTTTGGCAACTTGTTTGAGCTTGAATTTTTGGAGCTTTCTCAAAACAATTTATCTGGCTCTATTCCTTCTTGTTTCAATCCACCATATTTGAGACATGTCCACTGAAGAGAAACAAACTAAGTGGTCCATTGACACTTGCTTTTAATAGCTCTTCATTAGTGACATTAGATCTTAGAGGGAATAATTTGACCGGTAATATTCCAAAATGGATTGGCACATTTTCTGCTTTAAGCGTCCTTCTTTTGAAAGACAATCATCTAGACGGTGGAATTCCAGTTCAATTATGCAAGTTGTATTCATTGAGCATCATAGATCTTTCTGGAAATATGTTTTCTGGTCCTATACCTTCTTGTTTGGGTAACTTAACTCTGGCAATGAAAAAAGAGAAGTCATTGATACCTGATGGTCGGTATGGAATAGGTATACCTGATGATGCATCAACATACACTGTGATGATAATGTCGAAAACTCGTAGGTACCCTGATAGCTACATGGAAGAATGGATAGAGTTTACAACAAAGAGTGTGTCCTATTCATACGGTGGTGACATTCTTGAGTACATGTCTGGGATTGATTTATCTTGTAACAGGTTAACTGGGCAAATCCCACTCGAATTGGGAAACTTGAGTGAAATCCGTTCGTTAAACTTATCACACAATAAGTTGATCGGAGTCATACCTTCATCATTTTCAAAGCTTAAGCAAATCGAGAGTTTGGACCTTTCTTACAACAACTTGACTGGTAGAATCCCTATACAGTTGGTTGAGTTGAACTTCCTGGAGGTTTTCAGCGTGGCACACAACAACTTGTCAGGTAGTACTCCAGACCCAAAAGCTCAGTTTGGGACCTTTGATGAAAGCAGCTACGAGGGAAACCCTCTTCTCTGTGGGCCTCCATTGCAAAATAACTGCTCTAAAACTGAGTCACCACCAACAGTACCGACTACAACAGACAATGAAGGAGAAGGTAGTTTCATGGACACATATGTTTTTTGTGTGAGCTTTCTGGTTTCATATGTAATTGTTTTATTGGGAATTTTTGTTGTTCTATACATAAATCCATATTGGCGACAAGCATGGTTTTCTTTCATTGAGAGTTGCATCACTACCTTTCGCTACTCAATTGTGGGCAATTTTCTTGAGTTATACATCTTCAGAAGATGTGCCTAGGTATCATGGGAGCTCTTATGATTTGCCTTTTGTTTGAATGTGGTGAAGATTTGGATAAAGTTGATTTTGTTGTCAGAAGAAGTTTGGTGATTTGATCTTTTTAAATGGGGGATTTCTTTTAGCTGACTGTTCTGTTAAAATAGTTGTAGGAAGAGTTGTGGATTTTGCACTTTCAACAGAGCTTTATGTCTCTGTCGAAACTCTGTTTTTGGTATTTGTTTTGTTTTGAAGGAAGCCTGTAGCTTTGTGTCTTGTTGATTTTATTTTCTACACAAATATTCAATTCTCTATTCTCCATCATCTACAAGTTATTATTAATATCTTTTCCAAGTTATTATTCAAATTGGCAAATTTTTCCTCATTAGTTTTGGCTTAGTTTTGAGCTTCTAGTAAATGATTTCTGGCATAAATTGCAGCGAAGGCAAAGATTGCTGGCTATGGCCTACCAAGAACTTTCTAAAGTTGTATTGGTTGGATTCATTTGTTTTAACCAGATTTTATATCGATCGTAAAAAGCTTTTTCAATTTATTTTCTTTGATGCTTAAAAAATTAGATTTTAAACAAAAACAATACTAATTCTATCATATTAAAGTAATATGAAATATTCAAGAATGTGTTTTTTTTTTTTTTTCAATTTCTCATTTCTAGCTCTTTTATAGAGGTTTTATTTTTATTTAAAATTACTTAATATTTGTTGTCTTTCGAAAATTAGTGTTAGTTTATAAAATGGACCAAATAAGCATTGACTGTTGAAAATATCATTTTGATCGCGAAATGCAATTATTTTCTTTTATAGGGTTACAAATTATTGCAAAATTAAAAAATTAGGTTTATATATCTCATACACATGCAAATCCTATCAACTAAGTAAATTAAATGTAGAATCTTCCAAAGTAACGATGAGATCATGACTTAATAGTTGTGGTATAAAGGGTGTTAGCCAATGAGATCATGACTTAGTAGTTATATTATAATTTATTAGTTAATTATTCAGTAATTGTAATTTGATTATGATATAATAATTGATTATTCAGTTAATTATATGAATGTAATACTTGATTATGATTATAACAATTAAAAGAAACTAGAATTTTTGAATCCATTCTTTGCATGGTTAATTTTTATTTAAAAAAAAAGCTTAAATAATATATACCATATAAATAATGATTTCAAAAGTTCAAAGAGTTTCTTTTTGAAAAACAACCCTCGCACTACTTTATTAAAAAATTAAAAATAAAAAATAAATTTAAAAAACATAAAAATAAAATAGCAAAGGTATCAAGGGAAAAAACAATTAAAAAAAAAGAATAACCTCATATCTAATTGTAGCATTTCCATGAAAGAAAATGAAATAATGGAGTAAAATCCTCATCCTCTTTCACCTCAAAGAACTCTTGTGTAAATTTGATCACATATAAACCAATAAATAATCATAAAATAAGTACAGCAGGTCCACAAATAATTAATAATTGGTATACAAAGATTACAAAAAATTAAACATATTTAATTATTTCTAATAAAATTGAATTATATTAATTTTTTAAAATATTTATTTTTAAATCATTGATTAATGGAGAATGAGAAAAGATTAAAATTAATCTATACCTTACTACTAAGGATCCAGAACATCAACTTAACATTTGTAAATTGAATTACTTAATTTCATTTAATGACACTTGTCCTAAAAAATGATATCGGGTTTGCATTTATGAAGTATCGATTGGAAACTATGGCTGTAGTCAGGGCGTAGAAATGATATATATATATATATATATATTCATAGAATTTTTGGTTTTTTTCTACATTGAGCCAACTAAATTTAAATAAAATAAAATAACTAAAAAATAAAAACTATATATATTCATAGAAATTTTTGGTTTTTTTTCCTACATTGATTCCACTAAATTTAAATAAAAATAAAATAATGAAAATAAAATTTTATCTATTTTATACAACAAAATACAAGTAAAATGACTAAAAAAAATCAAATCTATTATACTATAATAGTTGTCCAATTATGTACATGGATACACTCAAACAACTATATATAGAGATTAGCAATTATAAAATAATGTTATTCAATTTTTTTCTAATAATGGGATAAGATATATCTAAACTTATCATTTATATTTTAGATTTGGGGAACGGGATTAGGTAGGGTTAAATTAATGTTAGAGGGTTTATCATTTATAATTGTTTCAAAAATATAATCTATTTATATATTGTTGAATTATATAAAAAAGTGCTAATAATCTTACAGTCA